GGTTCTTCTCCACCCTGCAGGGAAGAGACCAGGAAGGAACAGGCACTGACTCCAGAGCTCAGCACACAGGACCCCGGGGGCCACTTGGCACCACCTTCCAAAACCAGAAGCCAGCGCCGCCCAGCAGTGGGAATGTCACCTAGGCACGGGCGTGGGACACGGCCGGGTGCCCACCCAGAGCCGCTCACCCAGGAAACCAGGGGAGTCCCTTCACCGTCCTGCAAATAATGACTGGTCCGGCAAATGTGACAGTGACATGGCAGGGCACCAGGCGGCGGTTTAGAAAGAGCTGTATCTGGTCCCCAAGCCTCGTCACCAAGTGAAAGGGGTCAGGACGAGGATGCGTCCCGCGTGGACCTCTTCACAGAGGCAGAGTCCTGCCCTGCTGCCCGCTGGCCTGGGACTCCTGGGCTCCGTGGTCCTCCCGCCTCAGCCTCCCGCGTAGCTGGGCCTACAGGCTCGTGCCACCACACCCACGAGACCACCCTGATCGTGCCACACCTTGCCGTGCACACTGGGAAGTGAAATGCGAGGGAGACACATACAGCCAGGAAGATTGCTGGGAAAGATTTAACCCAACTGAGTCGTCCCCTCGGGAAGAGGGTTGGGGGCGGCGCTCACCTGGGAGAGCTTCATTTCTAAAAGCGACAAGGAATTGCTTACTACTTGCCCCAACCAGCTTCCTCTGGATGGGACTCGCACCGCTGTGCAGAGGAAATTCCACCCCATTCCCCCCGTGGATGAACTCCAGGGTCTGCTAATGCGGGTCAGGTCAGCAGTGACCGCAGCTCAGCAGCGAACCCAGAAACTCACCAGCGCTGGCCTGAAGCCCTCCGGGCGGATGCGCAGACCCTGAGCCAGCAGTGACTTATCCTAGACTGAAATCCCCTGAGGGCGGGGGAGCGTCAGTCACCCTGTGCCACCGGAGGCCCGGAGGGGCTGGAAACCTGCCTCGCGGTTTCAGGAAGCGTCACCTACGCAGGCTTGTCAGATACGGGAACTTGGGAAGATGAGTACCGACCAGCCCAGACGCTCCCAGGGCTGCTGGGACAGCCAGCCTCCGCACGGTGGCCTCCCGCTCCCGACAGGTGCCGGCACAGTGCTGTCCCTGGAGTCCCCAGGGTGCTCCCTTCTGTTCTGCACTCACCAAAGGCCTGCACCCTTAGAGCACACCCCACAGCCCCGCCTCAGCCCCCAGCCCATGAGCCCCGCCCTCCAGGGCAGAGGGCAGCCCCAGGTGGACCCTAGCAGGGCCAGAGTCAGGGCTCTGACCCCCGAGTGGGCAGGCAGGCAGCTGGACCCCAGGTGTTTCCCACAGCAGGGTTCACACAGGGTGGCACCTCTGCTGACCTTAGGGGACATTCAGACTGAGCACTACACTCCACGGAACCTCCTAGTGGGAAAGTGGCTTTCTCCTCTGGCCGAGGCCCCTCAGTCCCCCCAGGCCTGGGAGAA